GCCTACCCGTAGTCCTTGAGGTCCAGCGTGTGCAGCTCCAGCTGCGGCTCGCCCCGCCCCTCGCCGCCCGGCGGCCCCTGCTCTGCGAAGCGGACCAGCTTGTGCGCGCTCCAGGTCCCCGGGCCCAGGTGCTCCCGCTGCACCGACACCTGCAGCAGCAGCGGCTGCCTCGGCCGGCTCAGCTGCTGCCAGAAGTTCACGGCCTCCGTCACGTCGAAGGCCTTCCAGCCGCTCTCGTGGACGGACACCAGCCTGAGACACAGCCCGGGCGTCAGGGGAGGCGGCTGGCAGGCTGCCAGTGGCCCCTGGAGGCTGTCCCGCCCTGTCCCCACCCCTGCCGGCCGGGGCTCCCCTCCCCCAGCAGGGCCGAGCTCCCGACCCCGCCCCGCCCCCCAACACACACACACACATACACGCACACACACACACACACACACACACACACACACACACACACACACACGCACTGCTGCAGGCTGTACCTGGAGTCGATGAGGGCGGTGCGGTTGGAGCCGTCCTCGCGGACTCTCAGCCACTCGATGGTGACCCGAGCTCGGGCACTGTATGGGGACAGCCTCTCGTGCCTCCGGAGGGCAGTTCTGGGGACCGGCTCCTGGAACAGCCGCAGCACGGCCTGCACCAGCTCGCTGTTAGGCGGCAGCCGCCGCTCCATGCCAAACACTAGCAAATGCGTGGAGGTCTCCGACACCAGGAACCTGCCCGCCACCTCTGTGGACGTGGACAGAGTCAGCCGGGCCTCCCACGGGCACCAGATAACCTCCAGGGAGGCGAGACCCATTGCCAATGGCCAAGAGCCTTTAGTAATCCTCAGGGGAAACTGGCAGCAGGAAGCCCATGAACATCGTGAAAAGGAAGTATCTCTCCTATCCAGGATTATTATTTTTTTTTTTTATCACTTTCACCCTTGGTGGTGGCTTTGGAACCCGGCCTGGGAAAGGAGCTGGTGGGTTCTTTCGGGAAGGTTTCTGGAGAAGATGGGGGAGGGAGGAGAGAAATACAGAGTTCCACTGCAGAGACTAGAGGTTCCAAGCTCCCTAGCGGAACTGTGCCTTTTTGAAAGGCCAGACTCTCTTGTGAGGGGTTCCGCTCAGTGACCTGTCCGTAAAGGAGGGGCAGGCATCCGTGAACACCTCTGTCGGGACTGCTGAACCCTGGGGCAAACCCTTAGGACAATGTCACGTTCCTGGATGGAACCAGCCAGTGTGTTCCCTAACCCCTGAAGCTCTAGGACAGCAGGGCGATCACCTGAGAGCCAGCCACACCTGTTCTCAGCGCTCAGAACCTTTCAGAACCAGCAGCCTAAGTACTACAGGACAGGGAGCTGTAGCCGGGGCTGTGGCCCGGAGGGCTGATTTCAGCCGGGAGGGGCTGCACCACCACGCAGGTCCTTGCTGTCCTGACAACTGGAGACCAGTGCTCTCCCTCCCTCTCCCCAAACGTTCTGTTACCCAGGGCCGCCTCTGGCCAGCACTGTTCTCTGTCCATGGCAGGACACAGTCAGCCACTCTTGTAGGTGGTGAACCTAGGAAGTTCTACCTGTTTCCCTCCATCTCCTCCTCTTCTCTGCTCTGAATTTACCAGCACGGACAGCCCCCCCCTTTTCCTACCCCAAGGGTCGTTCAGTGCCCAGACCCAGCCACCCCACACACACACCCACTTCCTTCTAACAGCCGCCTGCGTCCCCCAGCACTTCCACTGAGCCCCACCCAGCAAGGGCCCATGGACACCACAGGTGGAGGGCATGATAAGCCTTTCCTAGAGCCCAAGGACAGCAGGGGAGGAGGGCTCACCTCGAAAGTTCTGGCTGAACCTCTTCCCTCGGGAGCGGCTGGCGTGGCCATGCCGCAGCAGGGCCACGTACTGGGCCCTCACATGAGAGGGGATGACCACCCCTTCCACGTCAGCCTTGTCCAGCACCGGCGGTTGGCTAAGCTGCAGCTGTTGCAGCAGGCTGCTCAGGACCTGCTCTCCGGTCAGGGCTGCCCCGGGGCTGACCAGGGACAGAGCCCAGAGTGCCCAGCAGAGCCACAGGAACGGCATGGCGCTGCCCAGGAGGAGGAGCTGAGGATGTGTGTACTCCTGAGGTGTCCTGAAAGAGTCTTGAGTCTGCCCAGGGCTGGTGCAGACGCGCTTTATAGCTAGCCCTGGGTGGGGGGCAGGGGAGGAGGAGGAGAGAGGTCACACCCCTGGGACCTCCTGGGAGCTCAGCATGAAACAAGCCCCTGAGCCCTGAGGAGGGGCTGTCTAGAAGGGGCACAAAAGCCTGTCTGGACTGAGACCATCTGCTCACCCCTGTCTGTTAGTCGTATACCTCACCATCGACTTAGGGGTGCCTGACCAATTAAGACATTCAGACTGGGGGCTGGTAACGGCACTTGCCTAGCTCCCATGGAGCCCTACATTCAATCCGAGCACGGGTTGGGAGGCAGATCCTGGAGATGTGGAGTGCTTACGCTCTGCTGGATGCCAGGTCGCAGTGTCTGGAATGTGTGCCTACAGTCTTGTCCACTGCTGCTTCCAAACCCTGGAAAGAGCCAGATGTCGATCAACACCTGGGCTCTCCAACTGACTTGCTTCTCAGTACACCTGGCCAGGTGTTCAAAAGACTTCTGGGGCTGATAAGAGCTAGCATGTCCCACTTTGGGGTGGCGGGGCCCTTCCTTGCCAAAAAGCCTGGGACTGGCTGGA